TCTTGCTCCGCCCCCCTCTGTTTTTAATTTTCTGAGGAACTTCCATTTTTATAATAATATCTATTTTATAATAGATATAATAGGTGGTATTGCCCAACTGTATGATGTTCAGTAGGTTAGGTTATTAAATGCATTTTTGACTTAGGATATTTTCAACTTATGTTGGGTTTATTAGGATGTGACCCCATCATAAGTCAAGGAAAATCTGTAGATTATACCGCACAATGGTGTGTGTGTGTGTGTGTGTGTGTGCACGCGCGTACTTACAATTATAGGTTCCTTGAAGGCAAAGTCTATAACCATCCCTTTTCCTCTTCTGGGTGTTGAGAGTCACCCGGCCTTGCGCCAAGGTACTGGTTCTGTGAATGAATGAGCAGTGAAGGAACATGGGCTCATGGATAGGGGAAGAGGATGTGAGGAGCCTAGTAGAGAAAAGTTTATTTGGTAGGAGTCTGGCTCCAGCTTTCTCTAAAGGAGGGCTTTAGGGTCAACATTCTGACCAGAAGGGGGCTTAAAAGCACTTTATAGACAGAAGGAGACAACAACACTTGTTAAAATAAAAGGAGGCAAGAGCTGATGGAGATCAACAGAGAGGCGCTCACCACATCAGTTCCCCTGGACATCCTTCCTAGGTGAATGTTTTCACTGTGGTTGAATTTAATGCTTTCTGTTGTTTTTGTGTCATGGAATGTTTCACGTTGGTTCAATTACATCTGCTTTTGAAAGAACAAGTATTAACACACGTGTCACTTCTGTTCCTTGCAGGCAACAATGGTCCTGAGCTCCGCACACTTCTGGCTGGGATTATTTCTGGTGCCCACAGCATGTTTGATGGAAGATGTAGCATGGAGAGCGTAAGTGAAAAGTGACGTAGTCACCCTAAGTCTTGCTCTTCTGCCCTTGCAGTCACCTGTCATGAACGCTGGCCATAGGGTATTTCATGCCGTGAGACTTCAGAAGGAACAGGTCTTCTGCTACCTGCCAGCAACAGATGTTTATAAAGGGTGTTGGGGGTTTTGGTTTCTTGTGGTTTTCTTTCTTTCTTTTAACCTGTGCTTCACCTTGATAGGAGAATATAGACAAAAAGGAGTCCCAAGACAGGCTATGTAAAGGTCAGTAGGTATGGTGCTTGTACATGATTTTAAGGGAGGGTTTCTAAGTACAGATTCATTCCATCAGGTTTAGGAAGCATAACCCAAAACTCATTTCTCCTTATATCTAAAAAATCAATGCCTAAGTGATCACAAATATAACCTGGCTTTAAATCCCAGACTTAAATAAAAATTGTGTATATGTAAGCCATTTCAAGTTAGAAAATAACTTGGAATGAAGTAGTCTTCATTTTTCCAATAATTCACAGGAGGAGTCCTTCAAAAGTAATTTATTTAGAGTGTCAGTGTACAAATCTATGAGAAGATTAATCACAAAGATGAAATTATAATGTAGGTTAAGTAGGAAATAATTCATGCGCAGTTTTGCTTACATGTTTCAAAATATATTGTTTCCGAAATATCTTGTGCACAAGGTAAACTAAGCAACTAAGTTCCAAAATAATGTTAATTTTAATTTCATCCATGAGAAAGAGATGGAAGACTCCAAAAGAGATAATATTGATTTTTGTTTGGGGTAGGTTGATTCCTCCTACAAATAGTTGCCAACTTCCCTGAAAATTGAGACTCCTGGATTGGTTTTACTTTGGGCAAAGCATAATTATTTTGGGGCCCTGAGGTAGAGAATTGAGACTTTAATCCATACCTTCCAGGAGAAGCCATCAGATTTCATTTTTATCTCTCCTTCCTCCCACATTCAAGGAGAATTGTTCTTGCCTGACAGTTAAGGATGTCTTTTGAAGAAGTCTTCATTTTGGCATTATCTTGACAACCAGTGATGCCTAATGCAGAGAGAGAGGAAGAGAGAGAATTGTATAGCACATATTTTGGGTGTTTTTTTTCTCTTCACTAAGTTTTGCAACTATTACTAAAAATTAAATAACTCTATTAAATGCCTTGATGTCCACTACTTCCCTTTTATCTGCTAAACCTGTATTCTATAAATAGCTGAATTAGAATCCTTGGAAATGAAATTATAGCCAGGAAAGATGTTTTCTTAATCTAATAAATGCGCTGAAACAAAATGCTAGTTCTATTATTTGTTCTTACAGCACATAGTCCAGTTGTGGCATGCTCTATTACCTTGCTAAATCTCTTCAATTTTACATGACAGGTTAGTTTTAGGTAAATACAACATGATACTGGCTACATCAGATCACTTTACAATTTATAGTGATTGAGAATAGGAATGTGATTATAAATTAATCTCAGCCTATTTTAATTCAACTATCTTGATTAACGTCATGGGGAAAAAAAAAAAAAAAGTTTGCCGAGTCTGTGTGTTTGCCGAGTGAGACCTTAGCAGAAGTATCTTTCTACTATTTCAAAAAGTGGTTGCCGATTACAGTGTCTCTACCTCCTCATCAGTCTTCTGGACCTTTTCCAATCCATTCCAAGTAAAAGTTACCCGTCACCAATGAAGCAAATTACTCCTTCAAACAGGACTTGTGTTTGGTCTCCCCCGGCACTATAAAATTAGCACCATTTACATTTTAGCAAGGATAAATCAAAGGGCACTGCCTCCAGCTCCACCATATGGAAAAAGTAAAAGTCCCTTGTTTCCGAGAAGCTTGCCAGCCAGGTAGGAGGAGGGCCCATCCACTACGAAGGAGGCGCTGGTCAAGGGACCAGCACAGGCAGACCCTGGGCATGGTCGTGCCCGCTGCCTCCTGCCCAGGACAGGCCCAGAAAACAGCCCTTCCCAGGAGCAGACAGCACCTCAGCTTTGGGCTGAGCCGGAAAGGCTCCTACTGAAGTCCAGAGGCACTTACAGAAATGTACTTTTGTCTGGTTTTATTCGGGGAAGCCAGGGAGAATGGTGTATATTGGCTCTGCCCGCCCCTCCCCCGGCAGTATTTGCCCAAAGTACATGCTCAATTTGTAATACACATTTAATGTCTAAACTACAGTCACCTCTCTCCTCAAAGACAAGCATGTGGCAAGCTTATTTGGGAATTTTCCCTGAGATCACGGGGCTTGGGTTTTATCTTACGTTATACTCCCTGCCTGAAATAGATGTTGTTGGATCCAGTAAATTAGAGGTTTCTCCGGGAAGTGGAAGCAGACTATGCGTTGCTCACCTCCAGTGAGGCCACCGCACGGGACTGTGATTTCTCCTTCTGAGCTTCTACCTCCCAGAATGTGTTCTGTTTTCCCTTCCTGCACACTGGACAAAAACATGAGCCCTGATTGTCCACAGCCACCCTTCATTTGGTTCCAGCTGTCAACTCTTTGTTGAAACATGACGTGCTATGGCTCTCCTTGGACTTCCAAGGAGAGTTTTGAGTGAAGTGAACCGGAATCCCGGGTCCCCGAGGAGCCTGTGCCGTGACAGGGACGTGGGGCAATGTTTGCAGGGCGGTTGCATTCTCTCATCTTGCCTTGGGCCAATCTTACAGATCTCTTGTTTTGTTTTGAATTTTAGTGGTTGACTCTATTCTGAAAGAGCTTTAAATCCCAGCAGAATGCAGGCCCACCTTTCCATGTGTGTTTCTAGGAGCGCTTAGCAAAGTGAACTGCTCTCTTTCTGCATTTCCCCCCACCCCTTACTTTGCCCAGTCCCTCTCTGTCATTTTAGGACCTAGACTGTTCAGAGTCAGGAAAAAAAAAAAGAAAAAAGAAAACTCAAGAAAAAAGAAACTCAGCATGAGTTTAGTCATTTTTTCCATGAAGTCTGTTAGCTTTCTGCTTGAAGATCCATTACTAGACTATCTTAAGTCAGATTTGGATGCCATAAAGTACCTACTCTGTTATCCTGTTAACCATAATTTTCATGAGGGACCAAACTAACACATCTTTTACTAAAATAATTGATTGATTATATGTGATACCTGGCTAATGAGTATTTTTATTAGGAGCATGAAATTTAAATTGCCCAGAACTATTTTAATATCCTTTAGCATACACACTTCCAAAATGTTTGCCCATGACAGCATTCTTAGGTAAGCTGCTATGTACTTATTCTCATTTAGGAGAAATCCATTAGTTGCTTTATAAAAATAATATAAAGCTCAAGGCCACTGAACACAGGAACCAGTCTCCTTTTATCTAACTGTATCTCTTATACTTTACCAGTCAGCACACAATACGTTCAGCAATTCCAGAATGACTTCATTTCCTTATTATAATCCCAGATAGGCAGTTAAATGGAAATAAAAGGTAGTAAGAAATTTCTGTATACAAATGAGTCTTGATTTAAAAAAAAAAAAAAAACTTTCTACCTGAACTAAGCTCGCGTGAAGCACATTGTATTTACATTTTCATTCACATTTAGAATTTAATGTATCCTTCTGACTTGCTACTTTTCCATGCAAAAGAAAGAGTGGAGGAAAAAAGTTTCCAGAAAAAAAAAAGAAAATCTAAGCCAATCTATTTATTTTAAAAGTTCCTCATAACCTGGAGTTACCCACAGCTATCCCTGGGGGCTCGCAGATGACTCTCGCACTCTTGACAGTGGCTAAGCAACCCCACGTTGCCTCTTCTGCAATCATCTGGTTTCTTGATGCGGGGTTAGATGGAGCAGCCCTGGACCACTGGGGATAAGCCACTCATGGATCATGGGGTTCACTCTGTCACAGCTGTGACTGAGAGCAAGCCAAACCCCAGCTCCTGGTGAGACCTAAATTGCATGCCGGTGGCTAATGCTTAAAGACTGGCTTTTCACAGGTGGACTTTGATGGGCAGGGGGAATCATTTATCTAATTAAGGCTTTATTAGGTAAAGGCTGTTGAGAAAGCAGTTTTGCATTGCTAACATTGCTTCTACCTCAGTGCCACAAGCAGAAAGACTCACAGAATCATCCCCAGCGTTGCTACCCGGCGTTCTCAAATAGTGGTCAAGTCCCCAGGCTAGCTCACGGGAGCTAGCCTAGTGGAAATACTAAGAAATTGCTGAGTAACTCTTGAATACAGATGAATTTCGTCCACTGAAAACATGCACAGTGCCTGGGGGCATCAGCATCCTCAGATCCTTTCCTTCTGAGGTGATTTTATGTATGAGCCCAAACCAGCAGTTTCAATGCAGTGGGCCAGATTCTTTCTCCCCTGGGCTAAGGTATAGCTTTCCAGTGCCCTGGACCCACTGGCCGGCCTTCCTGTTCCTCGTCTGCTTCTTGATGATGCCCCTGTCACCCAGCCCAGAAGAGAAGTCCGAGGGCTGTTCCAGAGGTTAGTGAGCTCTGCTTGCTCTGTGTGGGGAGGAAGAGAGAGGAAGGAGGGGAGGACAGTGGTAGAGGGAGGAGGGTCTGAAACAGAGCACACACTCATCCTCAGGGCAGGCACGCGTGTTCTCCTGGGGCCTGTATATCCGGGGTGAATCCTGCTGGAGTGGGGCTTGCCCCTCGGTTGTCTTGTTACCATTCCAGCCCCATGAGCCCATGAGATGAAAATGAAAGTTGGGGGCCCAACATATTCGATAATACAGAACAGTGTAAATTTTAACATTCTTTCTGACTGTCTCCAGCAAAACGTTAAATGTTTTCTCATTTCTTGTTTAAATTAAAATTCCACGGCCTCTGCTTTGAACTGCGGTATGTTATCACTACTGAGTCCCCGGACTCGGCTTGATGTAATTAAGGTATTATGTGTTAAAACCTGTGCGGCTAAGTTCTCGTGTTTACTTTGGGGGAAAGGAATGGCAGCCACATATACAGTGTCTTAGGACTAATACTCCATTATAGATTAACTTGGAGTGTTAGGGGATGACTGGGTATTATCTTAACAGACTTTCTTCCCTTGAAGGTGGAGGGTGGGCGGGAGTACGTGATTCCCCTGAAACCGCTCACGAATGTTCCTGCTACACTGTTCTCACTTCCTTGCAGAGATGCTCCGCATTTGTTCGTATTCTGTCTTGGAGTCCTGGTCCTTAGCAGGATCTTCACGTCTGTTTACACTGAAAGAAATGAAAAGCTTTTCATAATAAGGAAAACGGCCCTGTATTGCTAAGTTCGGAGCTTTTTTTCCTTCTTGAGTTTTTCTTTTCCCATTTCATACCCATATCTAGCCAACTGCCTTTCTTCAACTGGATCCTTTCCAACCAGTAGCTCTGTGTGTAGCCTCAATTTTAGGAAGATCCTAGCTCAGCCGCTTATTTGAACGTTGTAAGGTATTTTTCGTTAACCAGAAAAAGGGTGCAGGCAGCTCTTCCTACAGTTCAAGGGGAGTGACAGGACCAGGCTGAGGTTTTGGCTGTGGTGGAGAGGCCAGCTTGTTTTTGTTACTCCCTCAGTTGTTTTACTCCGTGTGGGCCCATGAATATGGGCCCTAATGGTAAGTCTCTGCAAGAGAAGGGTGGAGAAGCTGTGCCTGGATATTTGTGTTGACCCTAAATTTTAGGTGCAGGGTTTGGCTTGAAGAGCATGAACTCCAGCATTATAATTCCCATTCCTGCTCTGATAGTGGCTCTTTCCACGCTAAAAAAGAGAACAAACTGCTCACTCGGGGCTCTGGGATCACAGTAGGGGCCAGGGCCTGGGGACCAGCATACATCCACTAGGTAAGGATTTAAAGCGTCTTCTGGGTTCTTAGGTCCTGCGGTGAGAAGCTTTAGAGATAGACCCATGAATATCCGTGAACCCCGGTCTTTGGTCTGAATGGCGCAGGTCCTCAGCCAGATCCCCAGGCTTTCAGCAACAAGCGGTATTCTTTGGGGGATGTGGGGTAACTTTGGAGGTTCATGGTTCAAGTGTGTTCTACAAGACTTGGGATGCTTCCCAAGTTATGAAAGTGGAACCCTGGCCATACACAGGGACAGTGAGTGTTCCGTGATGTCCAAAGCCCACAGCCTCGGCCTCAAAGGGCATCGAGATATGGCCCCAAAGGGAACGACTGGTCTCTATAGCTGTGTAAGGTTCATGTGTCATGTGTTTTTTGTCTTTTCCTTGTGACACAGGGCCAAGCATACCTGCAAAAAAACATTGCTGGAGGAGGTGCAGGAGCTGGAGATGAAGTCCAGAGTGATGGGGAAGGCGATGCTTCGGGACAGTAATGGAAAGAGGTGGGCCAGCTCCGGCCGAGTGTGTGGGGAGCACCAGTCCTCCCGGCCCTTCTCCCTACCTTTCCTTCCTGGCTTTCTTTTTCTCTTCTCGGTTTTCTATGCGAGCATGAACTGCTCAGTTCTAAGCATTTTGGTTATTCTCTAAGAATACTGTCATAGGGAGATTTAAATTATAGTTTCTCAGTGGCCGCATGAAATCTGGCCTGTCCCCGGGTAAAGCTGGGGTTTTTATTGGATCCGGGTAAAACAACCCATACTATTTCCATGTAGGAAATAGTAGCAACACTATCCTGATGTGGAAAAGTTCTGTTTTGGTTATTTTACCAAAGAGTATTTAAAAGCTAGGCCTTTTGATACCAGGGCCAATTATTATACTAAAGGATGAGTATCTACCATGAAGATTTGCGCACTAAATAACGCCTGTTATTCATGTAAATCTTGTTATGGTTCACAGCAAGTATACCTGGGCCTTTTTGTTTTCCTTTTCATGAGTCATGATTTTCTGCTGGTGTTGTGAAAACGATCATGTGACATACGGGCTAGTTCACAGAAACAAATGCTGTCGTTCCCTCCCCTTATTTGTGGTAGAACCTCAGCCGCCTCTTCCCCGTCCCTAAAAGTTGGGCATGTGAAAAGCTTTTGATTAATCATTTTTGTTATAATGTTATTAGATTGCATTTAGTTGAAGCCCATATACTACCAAAGAAAGTCTACCTGGACCCAAGAACAGTTTAGCATTTCTGTCTTAGACACATGGCATGTCTGGAAAATTATGAGTACAACTCTCCTATAAATGCTTCGAAGGAAATATGTAGCTAACTACCAGGGAAACAGAAATCTACAAGTTGAATACTTTTAGAGATTCCTACTATGTGTCTTGTTTCTATTCTGTTTATTCATACCATCGTCCAAAGCAATGAAGACAAAGCATTTTTCTTAGGGAAAGAGAATCCAAATTTTGAGAAGCATTAGGAATATAATTTTAAATAACTGCAGATGTTTTAGGAAAGGGGTGGTAGAGTACGTAGTTGAAGCTGTGGTTTTTGTGTTTGTTTATGACATTTTTTTAACAAGTGAGTCCATTAGCATCCTTTACGTGGCAGCTGTGCTCGTCACTCTAAAGAATAATCTGTCAACAGGACAAAAATCACTGTCTTCAATAAGCTGAAAGCCACGAGTGTGTGGGGACAGCGGCGAGGCTTGAAGCAAGAGCTATATATAACCATTACACAGGGCAGCTCTTGGCTAAGGCCTGCGCTATCCGTTAGATTCTTTAGGCACAGTGCTTAGCACCTACTAGATTTTCAAGGACTTACAAAATTCTGAGACCTGAGGAAAAAAAGTGTTCATAGGCTCTAAAAATAGGGAGAAGCCTCTGCAAATTGAAATTCATAAAGGCTTAAAACTCTACAAAATGCAGATCAGTCTTAGTAACTGCTAGGCTTATTAAGCACACCGAGTTTTAGCATCTTTGAAAACAACTCCCAAGGCCTCTTAGATCTCAAGAATGCTTACATACACACAGTAACCGCTGAGAGATCATGGGTAACTTCTAAGTAAAATGAGAATTTCAAAGCCAAATTCTAAAACTCTTCTCCAACATTGGACAGGAAAACCTTGCCCCTCGCATGGTATAAGAATGTGCTTTACCGTGTTTGATCTGATGTGGGTCAGGGTCTGGTTCTGGCCCCGGAGGTTAAAACGGGGCTGGACATGGGGTGGGTAGCGTGGAGGCATTCAGAGGAGGCAGCAAGCCAGGAGGCCATCTGGCTTGAGAGATGAAGGGCTTCACGTGGGAGAGAGGATGGAAAAGAGGGCTTGGAGGAGGTGAGTAGATGGAAATGATGAGTGTGTGTTTCCAGCAGAGGGAGCAGCCTGTAGAGAGGCACTGGTGGGATTGTGTGCCGTAGTGCAATCCCCGAAAGGAATCTGGAGCCTGTGTTTGAATTCTGGCTCAGCTACTGCTTAGCCATGTGACCTGGGACAAGCTATTTCATACAGTGAGAAGACTAACATGTGGGGGGCGGGGCTGGGGCTCATGAACCGATGCGCACAGCACGGCGTATTGCCTGACCCGTGGCCGGAATGCAGAGTGTCAGCTGCTGGTCTTCAGTTTGGCCGGAGGGGGTATGAGCCCTCCTTAATGTTGATAAAAAGAATGGAATTTTTAAAACTCACATATCCTGTTCAAAATTCACCTTTCAATGTTCCAGTGAGTATCAGAAGATAATTAGAATTTAAATGTGGTTTCCTTCCCTCTGCATTTTAAAATCTGTTTTCTGATCGCTTTGTAAATGTTGCAACTTCATAGTTGTACTGATGGCACATGAATGTGTGTGTGCCCCCCCCACCCCGTGACTCGGTCTCCTCCAGTCCCAGTGTCCTGCCCCACTTGTGTAATCCCCTCCTCCCCTCGTCCTCAAGCGCCCAGCCACCACCACCACCATTTGTTTTTTTTCTCACTCCTAATTGCTCCAGATTTTCTGGGTGGTCCCTTTGCAAACTAGATAGTGGCGACTGGCTGCTCTGATTTTGTCCTGCTTGGCCTCACAACTGTTCGTTTATCACCTTTGTTTGCTTCTTTCACACCTGCCTGGATTCCTGTGCACCCCTGGTGCTGGTGAGGGGTGGGGGAGGGTAAGCCCAGGGATGGGGTGGGGGAGAGGGACGGAGGTTTCTTGAGCTGCGTTCTTCCTTGTAAGGATTTAGAGACACCCTCGTTGACGGAGCCTGAGTACTTCTCTCTTCTCACACCTCCCTGCTCCTTATTCCCCACCCCCACCGAATATTTCCATGGGCTTGTGCATCTCTCTTTAGCTGTTAGGCTGGCACACAGTGAAAGCTCTGTAAATATTTGTTGACCGACTGGAACTGCAAAAGCTCAGTGAGTTGGTGGTGAGGAAGGGAGGGTGAACCTGCATTATCCGTGCCCATTGCGTCAGCTCACGCAGGGAGTAGCCACAGAGAGATGCTCAGAGAGATGCAGGCGGCCCTGTCATGAGGGGTTCTTTTAAGTCATGGCTTCGGAATAGAGCTAACAGAGTCACAGATGGACAGACGTGTGGGATGTCAGCATCGCCTACCCATGCAAAGATGAGTAGGCTGGGAGCTGGTCCTCCCACCCATCCTGCCTTCCAGGGCCTCTGTTCGCCAGGTGTCCTCAACATCCCTAACCACAGGACAGCTACGCGGCTCAATGCTGAAAGCCCTCCTAAAGGCCCCTTCAGGACACTCTGCCAAGTCATAAAACCTGGGTCCAAGTCACTGGCAAATGTTCAGGCAGTTTTTCTCAGGAATGTACTCCTAAGAAAAAGAACAAAAATTTTATGCATTAATCTAAAAAAAAAGCCCTTTCGTGCCAAATTTACAATTACAATTTTGAAACGGTAGCTAGAAATTCTAAGTGTCCCTCTACGCCCTTTATCCATTCAATAAAACACTTCAACTTACCATTTTATTGATCTTGTCGAAGCCCCAAACTCTTACATTATTTTGGTAAACATGAAAATTTCATTAGCATGCTCCTGCACTTTTGTGTTAGTAAAACTTGTCTTCCAAAATGAACGTGTGTCATTTATGCATAATTAAGCCTGTGCTCATGACTTAGAGAAAACAATCTGATAAAGAAAAAAGACGAGATCTGCAAATGAGATATCTAGAAAGTACAGGGAAATAAAATGCTTCAGGTGGCTAACAGAAATGTTTTTATTTTGTCTTTTATTTTGTCTCTTCCTGATGACACATTTTTTCTTGATAGGTTGGTTGTGTACCTCACAAACACTAGACACTTGTTAGTATTTGTATTGTTCAGAATACCTTTCCCCAAACCATCTTCCCCAAAATCTTGACCAAGAGATATCCCTACCTTTCTGTGTGTGGAATAGAATCTGTCACGCATCTCAGTACTTTGCGGGTGTCTAAAAAAATGAGCTAAAGGGAAGAATTCTTTCTTTCAATGTTTTGGTAATATTTTCTTCCTCTCCCTCTTTATTCCTAAAATGTAACTCATGCAATTTTTTTTTCCTCTGGTGGAAGAAAACCTACCGATGGTCATTTACCTTTACAAATATAATTTTTAAAAATGCCTAAGATGTCATGGATGGGTGGCAAACTAAATTTTTTCCCCTTAAATTGTTTTTTCTTCCTTGGTTCAAGGTAAGAGGGTGTTCGGATGTTCTGGGTATTACAGCAATCAAGAAGCAAGGTGAATATATTTGATGAAAACATCGAGTTTTCCAGTTATACTTAATCTGAATAAACCACAAGGAGACCCTTGTTTTGTTTTAGAACTTCTTTCTGTTCATCACAGTTGCCGGGGGCGGGCAGGTAGGGTAGGCCCTGGGCTGATTTTCTCCAGTTTCAAGGTCAAGGAGTTCTGGTTGCTACCCTTGGCTTTCCCCAGCAAGGCGGTGGGATTCTCTTTCACTTCAGTGCTTCCCTGCAGTATAATTTACTCTGTGCCCTTGGTAAAGGTAGCCGGCTGACTGGTCTTTGCCTTATGGTGAGCGATCACCGAATCTCTTGTTTGGTTTTATGTCCTCGTGAATGCTGATACATGGGCTCTGTGACCCCGGGGCCGAGCCGGCACACACAGGGTAATCTAGACGGCCTGTCCGCCTCCTGGGGATTCCGGAGGGAAATGTGGTTTGGTCTGTGTCCGGGTGCCACAGCCTGGGCTCACACGGCGCCCGTGTCATCAAGGCTCCCTTGTGCAGATAGGCGGGGCACGGCTCCAAGCCAGCCATCTGGGAATCCTAATGGAGTGTTATCAGTGGAACATAGAGGCCAGAGCCTGAAACGCATCAGCACCATTTTTAGACACACCAAAGATTATTCGTCCACTCCAGGCGACACTCACCTGGGTGCTCTTTTAAAACCAATCATATTAAAAACCAAAAACTCCCCAATACATTTTGAGGTGAGTACTCAACTCAAAAAATAGCCACTATGCTTTGAGCTTTAAGGAGAGATCCTTTGGTCTTTAAAATAATGTTTAAAAG